GGCTCCACCAATGGGAGACCTTGAGCCAGGTCAAGCTTTCCGTGCCTCAAGTTTCTCATCAGTGAAATGGGAATAATAATAACCTAACTCTTACTTGTGAAGATTAAATAAGTTAATACATGCAAAGTATTTAGAATGGGATCTAAACTTTTATACAAATGAAGACAATATGGGTTTACTTGTATCATTTTCATTACTGTGATTATTATTTATGGAACGTGACTCACAGGTAAAAGCATGCCATCACACAGCAGCTCATCCTTCAATGAAATGCACAGTATATTTTCCAATGAGGGAGTTTTTGGTTTGCATTACTGGAATTTTACCTTTGTTTTAAGATGCAATTGAATGACCTAAAAATAAATTCTATCTATAATTTCACAAAATGAAGGCAAATGGATTTCCTTACAAATTAGTCTATATACGTGTTTGATGTAAGTAGCTAGTTTTTAAAATCTCAGAAACCACCAGGATATCTTGAATATGTGATATAATTGATTTGTAAGTTGGATAAGAATTTGTAAAATTATTTTATAGAGAGTTACTGTTTGAAGAAGGTAATGTGCATGGTTTATGCAGGCTAGTATACATGATATATTTAGCTCTAATGAAATGTGACCTAGATACATTAATGTAACAGAGTAGTTTTGGAATTATTTGTTTATAAGGCTAGTTACTCCCACTTTCCAGCTGTTTCTTCTTTCAGAATCTTGGAGACTAGTGGCCATATTAGAACCATCCATCTAAATTCAACTTCCAGGGGAAAATGGAGCTTGACAAGTCATGGTTTTGACTTGAGAATTATCAAATGGATATTTGCTCCAGTTTTTTTTTTTCCCCGAATGATAATGTAGTGAATATTTGAGAACAGACTTACACTCCAAGCTTATTTTGAAATTAGTAAAGCATTCTGAGGAAAAGCACAGGATAGTATTTAATTCTGTGAAAACACGATAATCTATACTTTAGTTCCTAATTTTCCATAAATTTATATCCTCATTTGAATGAATGACTCACATAGGAAATTACGTAAAGTGTATATAAATTAATTATATGGAATACATGCTGATATTTTAAAATTTGTGAATACAGTGAGACGCTATTCTTTTTGAAGTAATTCTGGCACTTCTCTTCAAAGTATGCAAAAATCACTGCGATCAAATTATGTGGTAGTGAGACTAAATACATTCTGTAGAAATGTGTTATATAAACGCTATTCCCATTAAAATCCTTATGCCTATTTTTATTAGTTCAGATATCTATCTTTCCACAGATATATATTTGTTTATCTGTTTGTATGTATGTGTGTATATGATCTATATACATATATATTACATGCAATTACACACATATTATCTTATAGAACTTAAAGATCCATGCAGTCTTCTAGGGCATAAACAGTAGTAGTTCTCTGGAGCAGTAGTGCCAAGTCTTTAAATAGCTGGGCCCTAAAAAAGGAAGCTTTACAAAATATCTGTTCAAAAACATGAACAGTTTCGTAATGAATTTTAAAACTGTACAATATTGTGAGATATCAGGAAAGAAAAATCAGACAAAACCAAGATCCCTCAATTCATCATCTTCCTTTTATTTTTGGTCCTTGTATTAAAATTTCCTTAGGAACTTGGGTATTGGGGATAGCAAATATATAAGAAGTGATCTCCCCAATCCAATTCGTGGGGGAATAATTCAAACAAGTTCAAACAGAAGGTTTCCTACTGCCCTAGCCTGGGTGGGAATGCATTTACTGGCAACCAATTAGTTGCCAATTCTTCTCCAGGATTGGTTGCCTTAGGACATGCTCCAAAAGGAGTGGGTAGGTACAGCTTAGTCACGACCCACACAGGCTGGTTCTCAGATGACAGGCAGTTCACTGCACTCCATCACAGAGAGGAGAGAAGAAAATCAGGCTGAATCTGTCAGATGTATGGGGAAGCTGGACAATACTAGAGGAAATCTGGCCGTACTAGTAAGAGAGTGAAACATCAGCATAGATAAAGCAATAAAAGTAGAGGTCCACTGACCACAATCGGCTTTTCTCATTTCCATTTCCTTTAATAAGCTTTGAAGTTTAAAATCACAGCTATCCAACTTCAATAAAATTGCAAAGCATTTTGTGGGGAAGAACTAAAACACGGCTTTATAAGGATTCTTTGTGAATCTAGTTTTTACTGTAAGTCTTTCTCAGGTAAGTGCATATCCAAATCATATAGACTGTTCCTCCATACAGTTAAAAAAAAAAAAGCAAATGGTGAAAATCATCCAAAACAGTTTGAACTTTGTAAAATTCCATATAAGTGGGTCATGTGGCAATGAGATTACAAATTTAATAAGGGTGCCAATTTAATAAGGCTAATTTTTTAGAACAAATCATTCCAATAGGTACAAATTTTGAGATAAAGCAATTAAAACTAAAATCTATAAGTCAGCATTAGAACCAGGGAGAAGACTACAGTGGTAATAATAGCTAATATTAGGAGGGGGGGTAATAGCTAATAGTAGGAGAATAACTCATGAAGATATTCACAAAAATTGTGACATTCATGAAAGAGAAATTTTGTTGGAGCAGAGAAATTAAGGTTGGGAAGAAAGCATGGGCTGCTTAACTTCCGTTATCAAAATGTTAACAATTCAGTAGTAACATAAATGATGAAGTGACAGAGATCTTAATGAAATGAAGATTGACTCATGGAAATGGAAAATAAGAAAATAAAGTAGCAAGTGAAGTGTTCACAGGAAGCAGAAGATGTTTAGATCCCCTAGGTGCAAGGTTTTAAATGGCATGCTTTTTATCTTTGTGAATTTCAATTAGACTCTGCAATGGGCAAGTCAGGAAGAGAATATTAATGATGGAGGAGAAAGCTGGGTGGTGTTCCATTCTTCACACAGACAGCTAAATAGCAGAGCAAATGTTTGTTTAGGTTGTAGCATATTAAATGTTCATTCAGAAAGTGGTGATTAATAGGTTAAAAAGAACAGCTTGAAATATTTACAATGTAAAGATTTTACTCTCCACACATAATCTTCAAAGCAAAGCTAAAATTTACTGTAGATTAGCTGTGCATGTTGTTATGAAAACTGCACCATCTAGGAAAACACATCTGAATTTTCGGTTCATAACTAACGAAATTGAAATGTTTGGTGCATATTGACTCTGAATGTAAAATGACAAGAACATATCAGCATACTTATCTTTCTTTTCCTTTTAAAGTGTCTAACGTTTATAACAACTTCTTGAAGAGATAAACATTCGCTCTGCTTTGCCTTAGCAGGACGTGAGCAACATTGTCTTATGGGCAGTACAAAAAGGAAAATGTCTCTTTTTTGTTTATATTGCACGTTTAGATTTTATCCCTTCAGATAAAACAGAAGAGAAATGAGCCAGATCAAACACACCACGCTGTAAGTGTACGATGGGATTGGAATTACAACAGGTCCCTTGGCCAGCGAAAAGCCCTAAAGCGGGGAAACCTAGAACCCCTACATTTTCCCCCTGGGGAAAGGACTGCAGAGGTAGTAGAAACACAGCAGGTCCTTTTTATCTCCGGGAAAATATAAACTTTTTTAAAGCCGTTGATTGAGTTTGATCACCAGGTGGGGAGGACGCCTGTGAAAAGAGGTTAGGGGAAAGAAGTGCTGAGTGAGCGGGAGGCTTCTCTAGGTGGATAATCTGCAAGTGGACTTCACTGATCCGCTGGAGGGAAGTCTCCAACTCTCGCTGCTTTAAGGGGAAATTAGTCCTGCGCGCAGGAGGGGGAAGGAATGAGTAGTGTATCAAGAGGGCTCAGGAAATCAAAGAAACTTCCTGCTGTCTGATCCACGCAACATGCGTTGAACTTGGACCTGCGTGGATGCGCTGATGACTAAGTAAAGCCGTGATTAGTCCCCTCGCCTTCCAGCGGGAGCGGTACCTCTTTACCTCTCCTCGGCAGCCACGTCGCTGGTTCCAGAGTCTGGGGATGTTAGGGGGTGGGCGGCAGGGCGAGGCCCGGGGGATCTAAGGCCGCACCAACGCACTGCATTCCCGACTCCGCACCGACACCCCCCGGAAGACCCCCAGGAACCTGGGGGCCTCCGGGGAGCCCGGTGGACCGCCGCGGGGAGCCGTCCCGGGAGGCGCGTGGGCTCCGCTCCTCCGGCGCGGCTAGCCGCGCTCGGGGCGCACCCGGGCGCCCGCTGCCGCCCGGGGCTGTGCGGCTGCAGGTGCCCGGCGGGCGGGTTCCCGGAATCGGGGCGGGCGTGGGGGTAGGGGTCCCTGCGTTTCGGGGAACCTCGTTAGCCCTCCTCCCGGGCCTGGCTCCTCCTCCTCCAGGCGTAGGGCTCGTGCCCGCCACAGCCTGCGCGCACCGCGCCTCCGCTCGCGTACCCCCTCCCCGCCTGCTCGTCCAACGTTTCTCCCTCCTTCTCTTCCTCCTCCTCCGCCCATCACTGCCACTACGGACGCCTTCGCCTCCTTCTACTCCTCGCGCCGCCGCCGCCGCCGCTCCTCGCGCTTCTCTCCGGCTTCCAGCAGCCCTTCGCTCGCCGCTCGCGCGGCTGCTGCAGTCTCTCTCTTTCTCTCCATTTCTCTCTCTCTCTCTCTCTCTCTCTCTCTTTCTCTCTCTCTCTTTCTCTCTCTCAAGTTTCCCATCTCCTCAAGATCAGGGCAAAGGAGGAAAACACCTAATTCTGCTTGCTGTTTCAGGTAAGGTCGCACACGTTGGTCCCAACAGGCACCCTTTCCCATTTGCCTCTGCCTCGCGTGCATGCCTCCTCTCCCCCCACCCCACTCTCCGATGCTCCCTGGAAACCGACGAGGTTCAGGTCGCCCCCTCCTCCCCAGTACATTTAAAAAATAATTTCGATACTCTTCGCCAGAAGCGTATTTACAACTACACCGAGATCCGAGACGGCCGCCCGGCAGCCCGTTCGCCTGGCTCTTTTATAGTCTTCAACTTTGCACGCCGCGCTGCCCTGCCTGCCGGGCTGGATCCGGCAGCCTCACGCTCCGGCTCGGCTTGTGGTGGTCGGCTCCGGAACAGCTGTCAAACGCGTCGTTTACGCAGCAGTTGATCCGAGCCCGGCTGCCTCCAAGATGTGGTCTTGGGCAACTGTGGATAGACAGGGAGGGAGATTATTTTATTTCATTTTATTTCAGAGAGAGTGAAGAAGTGAAGATGTGAGGACTGCAGTTCACTGTAGTGAAAAGAATAATCATCGAAAAAGTGGGCTGGCTGCCCCTTGCTTTTCCCGCTGTGGTTGCGGAGGTGGTCTTGGTTGAGGGGATTGTGGCATGATGTCTCCATCTCTCCTCCCCTTTTTTACTCTCCCCTCCAACCCATTCTCTTCAGCTCATATGTCAGTTCAGAGTCCCGTGTGTTATTATTACGTGTGTGTGAGCACAAAACAGTGTTTGCTGACGACGGGGCTAGGGGAAGTTCCTGGCAGAGCAAAGTCTGATTACTTGCTCATCTTGATGTGGAAGAGAAAAAAAGGAAAGGAAAGAAAGGAAAAGGAAAATAATCTCCCCCAATCATCATGCTCTACCCTCACTCCACTGGAATAATCTCCGTAGCTTGAACTCCAATTCCCAACTGAAATGACATTTTTGGGTTATTTGGGTGGTGAGACTGAACGGAATTTTAAGTGTATTTTGTTTTTCTTCCCATGGCTTTACAAAGAGCGGCTATGAGCATGAAATTGAACACCTACAACATGCAGTTGCTTCTTCTTGTTTTCTTGATGTGGGACCCAGCCAGGTGAGACATTTATTGTATTTGACTTTTAAAATTCAGGATAAGGTGTGTTACTTGAATGCCATCAGTGCAGGGGTGGCTTTTGAGAAGCTGGAGTATTTTGAAGAATTATTTCTAATGAAAAAAGGCTGTGCTAGGAAACTGAACTGTGAAGTGACAGAGACTATAAAAAGTTGACTGCTTCTTGTATTTGCCCATAAAATGCCAAAGTGGACAGAAGCATTTTCTAAAAACAAAAAGCAGTGAAGAAAAGAATAGCTTTTGAATGGCATATTCTAGCAAGAAATTGAAATGGTTAAGTTATATGCACTTATAATGAACCCAAAATTCAGTAAAGAAAACAACAGTTTTCCTTTAAGCCAAACAGAAAAGCACACGCTAAAATAGTTTGAGTGTTAACTTGATTTTTTGTTTTCTTTTAATGGTATTGGCTCTTTTAATCAACATAGAAAACCCAAGTGATGTGTAAGTTTTAAACCTCTAGGTGGAGATAGTATACAACTTCACAATCACAAACAATAAAACAAAAGCTTGATTTATTAGTCAACTTTACATATTATTGATTTAGAGATCTTTTATTCTTAAAATGGTTACTGTCACAAAGACTACTTATTTTAAACAGGTAATTCATTTTGTTTTGCCTATGTTCTACAAACATGAAATTAATTTTTGTTGCTTTCGATAACTTCATCTTAGTTGTAGGGTTTTTTTTTTTCTGATTTTCATCGTTAATGCACATCTCCTATTTATTGCCTTTAAGATAGGGTTTTCTAAACACCAGAGGACTTAAATTACAAGATTCATAAGAATGCTAATGTAATCATTTCTTTTTGAAAAACAATGTCTTTATTATACCTTTATTTCCCTTTTCATTTTGTTGTCCAAGTATTTGTCAACGTATGAAATTATTTTCTAGAATTGAGAAGAAATCTCTTTATGAAGCCTTGTTTTTAATTGGAAAATATCTCCTCATTTAACATCTTAATATTGAATTTAGAAAGAAAATGTGACGTGATTAAAAAACACTTTTCAGTGAGAATCTCTGTGTGGAACTTTATGACTATGTTAGTGATTGGTTTTAAAATTAGCTTAAGACAGTATAGAAACTTTTGAGGCTCAAAGGTATGAACTAATTTGCTGGCGTAATTTTTAAATGTTTATCTTCATATCAGTGTTTTAATACTTTGCTCTCAAGAAAATATTTGTTTAAAGTTGGTTACCAATTTTTTGATGTATTATGACTAATTTTAGCTACTAGCTGTGTAATCATCTAAATGCAAATGGGCTCTGTCAAGGATATTTTACATGCTACACCTTGATCAGAATGCAATTACATATAATCTTTGATTTTAAAGGAGTGAACAAATTATAAATTATAAATTATAGTCAATTAATCATTGAAAACCCTCAGTACTTAACCACTTAGTACTTTCCTCTACTAGTTTTCTGTTCTATATTTGACCAGGCGTGCTCATGCCAGTATTTTATTCTATTATATAAATGATTCTTTTTTTGGGCCAGTAATTTAAATCTCTGAATCATTCTGGGGAGAAAAAATGGCAATGAAGAGGGACATTCTGTTTTATACATCCAGTTGCTTCTGCACCAAATTGCTGGATGTCACAAAATCAGGTCTCTGGCTTTCTGATGGAGAAATAATGGAGAGAATCACTGTTCCTAACCCTCTTCTGGTGATATTTTAAGAGCATTTGTTCTTTCGGAAAATTTGTCACACACACGAAAGTAGCTGAGCATGTTACTCTTTAGGTGACCCCTATCGTCCCCCTCTGAGATCCATCAGGAGGGTCCTCCTCCGAGGCTCTCTGCGGCTGTGTGTGCTGCTGATCCTTTCAGAGCCCCCCCTCCACCTCCTGGCTACATGGAGCCTGGAACACAGCCAGCGGAGATTCCCTGATGTCTATATTGCACTTGGCCATTGGGTGGAGGTATACCCAAAGTAAGGAAATAATCTTGGTTTAAAAGAGAAAAAGACATAAAGAGAAAAAGAAAGACATTTATGAGGAAGATAGAGAAATTTTGTGCCTCCCAGGAGGCAATTTATTTTCCAATTAATATTCAAATCACTGAAGAATTTTTTCAGGAGCCCCTTTGGTTATTGTACCTTTTTAAATGCAGAATAACATTACTAATGGTGTCTGCATGTGATAAGCTGCAATCATAATATATTCTAGGGAATGGATTTTAGAAAAAAATGAATAGTTTGTACACAATACTAAGTGGTAGAAATCTGAAATAATTTGACACAAAACTTTCTAATAATCTAGTATTTAGTATCCATTTTCAACAGCATGTTTATCTTCTGCATAGACATACTGGTATTTATAGAAGTGAAAAAAAGAGGAAAATGGGTGGCACTGATAGCTTAGGGAGTCTTAAAATTCAAATCAAGGCAGAAGAGCATGTTGGCACTTGGAAAACACACTTATGTATATATATCAGCTTGTAAAATTATCTGTTTAGGTTGGTGCTGGCTAACATCCAAGAAGATGAGGCTAAAAATAACATTACCATCTTTACAAGAATTCTAGACAGACTTCTGGATGGTTACGATAATCGACTTAGACCAGGACTGGGAGGTAAAAATAGTTATATTTTTTTAAACTCTCACAAAATAATGCCCTTAAAAGTTAAGGTTAATATTCATATTTTAATACATTTTATTTGTGAATGCATTGCCATGTTTTAAAAAACCCTACATAATAGAAAGTAAGGTATATGAAATAAACATTATCTGTGATTCCTTTTCTACATGCATAATGTATTTAACATATCTTTTATAGAATGCCTAATGTCATATAAGAGCCAGACGTTCTGCATGAATAGTTTTTAAATTATTTATAATGGCTAAGTTTTTCAAATTTAGAGTATGTTAAAACAGAACATCGGGAAGATATGCTTGTGTAGTATTGTGGTTCCCTTCATCATATTTTGCAGAAGTCTCTTTTCACATCTGTAGAGATATGCAGAAATGAAGAACATAAAGAAATAAAAGAATATCTAGATTGTATTTTAACAAATACACTTTTTAGGATTGTGTGATGATATTTCTTTGCACGTGTGTGTGACATTTCTAAAATACAGCTCAGGTTTGGCATTCTTGAAACTTTCAAAGACATTTTAGATGTGTGTTAGCTGTAGGCCTACATTTATTGGGCCGTGGCACAGTTTGGTTTCAAATTTAAACATTCATTTTCAACTCAGAAAAATAAGTCTTTTTTTATCCATAAAGGTAAAGGAAATTAGGCTTGGCTAATATGTTACATTTTAATTATCCTTCAGTGTAGCTGGATGATACTAAGGAGATTAGGTGAAAGTCGGGTAGGTGTGTAATTCCTCAAAGAGTGCTGGGTCAAAATATTGTTACTCATCAAATCTGACGTGAGATATATATGCACACATGCACACATTTATCACATGTCCGTTATACTTATAGGATGTTCAATTTAACAGTTAATTCAAAATTAAGACAAATTAGTTGAACACTTGATACTAATCAAAGGTTTATATAGTTAGCCTGGTTATAACCAGGTTGGCAGCTTTGCAATATTAATTTGCTTGAAAAGATGTGTATTGACTAAAATCCCTGGGTGTTTATGTAAATACTTTCCTTGAAAAATATAGGTGGTTGTTAATTCTATGTATATTTAACAGTTGTATGGTTTGCATTGTCCAGGGGTCAGAAAAAGTGAGAAAAGACCCACCTTGTTTTTAAATAATATGCCTCAACTAATTGCTATTAGTTTTTGACTTGAATCCTGAGTGGTACCTCCCATTTTAAGAGAGAAGTGCTGGGGAGGAATAATGTTCAGAAATATGACACGTTATATCTCTCAGAAAGAATTCAGTGGTTTCGTATGCACATAGTTTTCTAAAAGGAAAAACTAAAAGTAAAAGAATATTTCCAAAGTGATTAATATGTCTAATGAGCATGAATATAAGGAATTACTGTCCATGTTAGCGTGTATGGCAATGAGCTATCGCCAAACTCCTGTAGTAGAAGTATGCCTCTCATAAGGCTGTCACACTTCATGATGGTGGTCTGAGAGGCAGATTGCACTAAGGCAGATATTCTTCCTAAGCCATTGATTTTATTATTTTTAAGTAAATCGTGTGCTGTCAAAAAACTTGAAATATTCAAGCTAGATTTTGAGTTTTGTCTCTGATGTTTTAGGAGAAATATTTACGCGGTGGGTGTATGGTTGGGGAGTAGAAACTACCTATTGCAGGATGTGGGTATGGCCATTTATGTCTTTTATTTCTTTTCTAATATCTCTTACATTCTTTTTTATTTCCATGATCAGACCTCAAATATACATCCTCGTCACCATATTATTTGGGTTAATGCAATAGACTAGATGGCTCTTTCCTAGTCCGTCTCTGCTATTGGACATATGCTGATATCTCACAGTCAGACTAGTCTTCTTTTATTCTTACACTGCTTTTCATAGGTCACTCTCTTCTCTTGACTGGATACCTTCGGTGACTCCCCATTGCCTTCGGTAAATGGGGTGGGGAGGGGTAGTGGAAGGAATATAGGCCTTAGACTCAGATAGATCTAGATTGGAATTTCTGCTCCATCCACACACAAAGCTATGCCTTGGCCAGATAATCTCTGTTTCCTTTCATTTAAAATGACCGTGATGGGGCTGGCCCTGTGGCTTAGTGGGTAAGTCTGGCACGCTCTGCTTCGGTGGCCTGGGTTTGCAGGTTTGGATCCCGGGTGCAGACCTACACCACTTATCAGCTATGCTGTGGCAGTGACCCACATATAAAGTGGAGGAAGGTTGGCACAAATGTTAGCTCAGGGCTAATCTTCTTCAAGCAAAAAAAAAAGGAGGAAGGTTGGCAACAGATGTTAGCTCAGGGCTAATCTTCCTCAGCAAAAATAATAACAATAATAATAATAAAATGGCCATGATATATCTACCTTTTTACCTTAAAGGGTTGTTGAGAGGATTACATAAACAAAGAGTGCACACAAAGCAGGTGCTGCCTACTAGCAATTCAACAAAAATCTGTTCCTTCCCTTCTCCCCTAGATTCCTAATTTGCCAATCAAGGTTTTCTGTAATCTACTTCTCTGACTTTGTTTTAACTTTACCTCCCATCTGTCCTGCACTTCAAATGCTTCTATTCATTTTTTCTTGATAATCCATTCACAATCTCTCCCTTGGCCTTTGGTCATATTATCTCCTTTCACTGGAATTGCTTTTCCTCATCCTCTCTGCTGATCTAAACCCCACCTTTCCTGTAAAGACCACCTCAACACTGGTCCTCTCTAGTCGTGATCTTTCTTAACTGAATTGAAGCACCCAGATTCAATTTTCTCTCTGTTGTATTTCTTACGTGGTTGTTGGCTCTATATTTCAATAGGTACTTATTATGTGCTATCTTGGATTATTTATTACCTTTTTATGTGTCTCTTGTTGCCTTAACAAGATTGTGAGCTCATTGAGGCAAGATACTGTATCATAAATCCTCTGTGCTCTCAGCAACTAAATATTGATTTGCATATTGTGGCCATAAAATAAATGTTCATTGCTTGATTAACTTTTCTATGACTAGTTAATCATCTGTAAAAGGGGACTACTCATGTCTGGCTGACCTTTTAGTTAGGAATCTTGGGGTGATATGTTGAGCATCACCTTCAGGAAGGTAGTGTTGCTTACTAAAGAGAACCTAACTTTAGACTGCGGACATTTTGGTAAAATCTTGGCTCTGGTCCTGATTAGACCTGTGACCTTTCAATACTTAGCCTCTCGGGGTCCACATTTGTCATGTATAAAATGAGATTGCTAATACTCTTCTTAGAGTTTTTGGTGAATATTAAATATAACAACATATGTTAAGACTTTAGCACAGTGGCTGGCATACACTAGAGAGTTAATAAATAACCATAACTAAAAGACTTTGAAAAACTTTCTAAATGTCCTGTCGTGAATTTACATTATGATTGCTTCTGCATCCAAAATTCTTAGCCTGAATGTTCATATGTCATTTCGAATAGAAAGTTCAGGGAAATTACTTGTATCGTTATGTCCCAGAAATTAACAATAAGGGAAAAATGGGTTTGATTCAATTTTAATATATCAAACTGAACATCTCTATTGATGAATAATCTGGATAATTAATCTCAATTATTATTTTCTTTCCTTTACGACTTTAATATAAATGAGTACATAAGAAAGAACAATCAGTTTTGGACGGTGAGTTAGAAAACTTGCTCGTTTCACCTGGCTCTACCACTTACTAGATCTTACCCTAGGTAAGCTACTTAGACATTCTGGGCTTTGGTATTTTTTTTGGGAAGATGGAAATAATATTTTATTCTGAGAAGGAGGAGGGTAAATTAGGATTCATATATATGACAAAGGTTATGCAATATATTGAATGATAAAATTTTAAGGTGTTTAACGATTAATAATGGATCCTCTTTAAAATTTAAGTCAGATCGTGCCACTCAATAGCTCAAAACCCTGCAGTGTTTTCTACTTCATTCAGAATAAGAACCAGATTTCCTGTGGTGGCCTCCGGGGCCCTGCATGAGCTGTCTCCCAGTTCTTTCTTTGACTTCACCTCACACAACTCTTCTTCTTGCTAACCCTGCTAGAGACACGTTGGCTTCCTTTCTGTTCTTTGAACACACCAGGATACTCCTTGGAGCTTTCTCCCTGGCTCTTTCTCTTTGCTACATATCCATTGATCTCACCTTCTCAATGAGGCCTACCCTGACCAACCAGATAAATACTACAACCTGTCCACCCTTTAGCAATTCTCATCCCCCTTATCCTGCTTCATCTTTTTCTTTTTTTCCTTACCACTTATTATCTTTTAATATACAAGATTATTTATTTATTTATTACCATTATGTCAATTGTTTATTTTTGTCTCTTTTGCTAGAATGTAGGCTCATTGAGATCAGGAAATTTTGCCTGCCTTGTTATTTGATTCCCAAGCATCTAGAACAGTGCCTGGCACATAGTAAGCACTCAAAGGAAGATTTCTGGAATGAATTTTAATTTAATTTATTTGTTTTAGTACGCTACCAGGAAAAGAATCAACTCTGGAACTTACCTTATCCTTAAAATCGATGGAACAGTTATTAAATTACCACACTAGACTTTCACTATTAACATCAGCATATTTTAGACTGAGTTCTTGGTGAATTGAAACAATTGTTTCACCAATTACTCAAACTCTTGACTTAAATGTTAGTTGTGATTTTGTCGTGAACTTATTCTGTGGTTGTGGGTGATTTATTTATTCCATCTGTGACTTAATATACTCATTTGTGAGATGGGAGAAGTTCTACTTATTCTGTTTGTATCTCACAAGGATATGGCATGGCTCAAGTAAATTAAAGTTCTTAAGAAATCATAATGTGACATACAGTTGATAAGCATTAGTATTGTTAGGAATGGCAGAGGAGACTTCTTCAAGGAGAACATCCTCTTAGGAGGTAGCATGCTTTGAAAACATACCAAGAAAATACTGGTAGATCTTGTGTATTTGGTAGACTTACTTCCTTGTGACCTGGAAACCTGAGATGGAGTTTGTCTGGATAGCTTTATCTACCA